AAGATGCGTTAAGGGCCATGAGACCATACAGAAATCTTCTGTGGCTTCTTGTTCCTCTTTTTGAGTCAGAAAATGGGGAATTACTGATTCAGTGGAAACTGTGTTATACCCCATGGACATCATGGGAGGAACACAGCAAAAAAAACAACAACGGACTAAAAACCGAGAATAAGAAAAACCATTTTGCTGAACATCATGTAAAAGATGAATTAAATAGATGCTTTCAATCGCACAACTGAAACGGTAGTATTTTAAAGAAAGAAATGCTAAGCTTGCATGTCTATAAATGTTTTCATTGTAAAACTGCTTGTACAGGAACCTCTCCGACATCATGTGATTATGTCCTGGTGTATTATTTATGACTTATTGATCCATGATGCTTAGTAATGTGAGCCATGTATGTTTTTTTAATGCTGCACAAACATGTCTCTACAATAATAAAGATAATCTGCTCTGTATTCTCACTGAGGCGCAATCTAAACTGTGAAAAACATCCCTTTAACTGCATACATGCCATCCATATACCGAAGCAGTGCAACATGCCACGGCAGTAGCACATTCTTCATGAACTAAAGCATTTTTTTTATAAAGTGTCAATCAAAGCAGTAACAAACGAGCTGACTCACCAGACTTCAATCTTCGTCGTCTGTACTGTTTCCTTTGTTTAAAAAGTTTTGAAAAAAATCTGATGTTAATGTCAAAACCACTGAGGTATTGACACACCCTCAGAGACATGGGCGTGTGAATACTGTTGTGTCTCTGAAGATGCCTGCTTAGCATCAAGAGAAATGAAATAGTAGGACCAAGGCAGAGGGAAATATGATAACCCGCCCTTGAGAAAATTAGAGCACTTTACTCTGGGCTTGAGTGCTTAAAAGGATGCTGTACTGACCATTACTGGACATGACAAAATACCACAGAGAATGCAGTGTATTTTCTGACCTAAAACAACAGAGCTTGGCTTTTTTTGATGACTTCAGGAAAGAGGAGCTACAGAGCAGATTGCAGTGTTAAAACAACAGTTAAAATCTTTTATTATCTTTGAATTTATACAAACTAAATAATCCACTGAAGCACTTAGCTGAACAAAAAAGCAGGCATGAAGCAGAAGAGCACTGGCGTGTTGTCCACAGAAAATCCACAGAAAATGAAAGTAGAAGTTTCAAAAAGGAGAAACTTACCCTGAAGAATCAAATTCAGAATGCTGAAGATTTTGGTCGTAAGTCTTCTGTTTTTGTTTTTTTTTAGTCCAAAAAGCTGCTCAAGAGTTTCCTGTACGTCTTACAAGCCTCTTCGTGTTCTCAATGTGATGTACTTGTGCGTTTTATTTAGTGCTGCTCTGGTCCTGTGACTAAATGTGTGGTTGCGGAGCATCTGCCTACCAGCGTGAGCTGTAGCTGCAGAGCTCGCATGAGACAACTTCCTTTTTTTACTTTTGAAAAGGATGCATGAGATTGTTATCGTTTGCATATGATGGCATAACCAAAACCGTCACTTGAACCCCAAAAAAACTTCTCTGTGATCTTGATCCCATTTGTATCTGAGCTTGTCATTCTCAAAGGAGCCTTGATTAAATACAAAACAGAAACAAAGCTAAAACTCTCTTTATTAGCCCGTCTGAGCTCACGCAGGCAGAATTACACATTCAAAGACAGTCAGGCGCAAATTCAGTTATTAACACCGGTTTATTTCTAGTAGCATCACTATCACTGTGGCTTAATGCAGCATAATGAGTGAGTGAACACACTAATAACGCAGTGGACTGTGACGTCTATATGTGCCTGTGGAAAAAAAACTGTGTTTATGTGATTATAGTAAAATATGAAGCTATAGACTTGACAAACAGGTTTTCTCTTTAACTGGTTGATGACTTTTAATCTTCAAAATCATAATCGTATCTCCTTAAACCAAATGACAAAAAGTATGAAAAGGAATATTAAAAAAACAAACAAAGGACATCCATGAACTTTTTGAGTAGAACATATACTAAGTTAAAGGTCAAATAAGGTTGAATGTCAGAAAAGTGAATAAAGAGCAGTAAACATCAGAAAGAAGATTTCCCATGGCTCTTACAGGTCATTTAAAGGATGCTGCGATGACCCCCCAAGGCAGTAGGTGCTTTGTTCAACAGGAGCTGATTGGAGAAGAAATTCTCTCCTTTCTACACATGCTGCTCTTGCTTTCCTTAAAATAAAAGATTCTCTTCTAATTACAACCTCGTCTAGTCTCCTCTGTTCTGTAGTATCCTGTCAGACAGACTGGGGCAAATGGGGCTAGTCATTTTGCAGTTTCGATTGTTGGAGCAATTGGCTTTCCATTTCAAAGCCATTATCTATATGCTCTGGTCTTATAAAGACCTGAGCAATCTGGCTCTTTGAGAGATTCTGACATGTAGTAAATAAAAAGTTATGTTACTGTTTTGCTGAAAGTTATGGTCACTGAGCTGTCCTCGGCTTGTGATTCATGTGGCTTTGAGCTTGGCTGGGCCTGTGCCTGGTGTGTTTAAGTCTGTATAAGGTGCAGCTGCTGTTCTGTCCCTGATGGAATGTGGATTCTCTCTGGTCTGTTGGGGAGGTTTTTTTTTAGTGTTTTGTCAAAAAAGGTTGTCTTGGAGGCACATCCAAGGTTGCAGGTGTCATTGACGGTTCTAGCTGCTTCACTAGGCTCAAGGGTTTCAGCACTTACGTTCCCGCCACAATTATCGTAAAGGTGATACAGATTGTTCAGCCCTCAAACTTTTCATCACATCTGTTTACTCAAATTTTGAAACGAGTCTGAGTAAGGCATAATCACATTCAGAGCCACTTTATTGGTTCCATCAAACTTTGAAAACTCTGCTGTGGGGGTAATGTGAATTAGGCCAGGTTTTGAAAGACCCATGGCTGTTTGTTGCTGGCTGCCAGGGATGTAATTCAACTCATTACTGGGTTTAGTCTAAATGAGATGGTATTTGGTCACACGGTTTGCTTCGGGATTCTGTGGTACAGCCTGAACCCCATTGAGATAGTGAATCCGGTTCTGGATTATAGAAATGAAGCATCTTAATTATCCAAAAGCCAAACTGCAGCAGTTCGGTCCAGGTGAGCAGGTTTTAGCTCTGATGCCATTTGGTGGTGTCTCATTTCAGGGCACTTTATGGTCCCTTTGCCATTCAAAATTCAGAGTAGAACTATTTGTTTTTTAAATTCATTTTTGTCATATTAATCTGCTTAAACCCCATTACATCAGGGTGTCCCAGCCCTGTAAAACTGGGGAAGACATACCACAGCACAGTGGGAAGCATGGATTCACTGGCACATGAGGGTGATGGGGTAAACCCATCCAGTGAAAGCCTGCCGAGGAAGGACCCTCTGTAAATTGGAAGCCCGTTCACGTCTGTCATCATGAATGATTATTCGTTTGTCAGACTCAAACACACCTAACAGAGCATGTCATTGATGTGGGTGACGCACAACTGATTCACTGGCATTTTAAGACTTTCTGGGAAAGAAAAGAGAAGGTGATGGAGAAGGAAATTCAGTATATGTTCAATAATAGTATTGTGAACCTTCATCTTCAAGCTGGGCTTCTCCCTGTTTGTTGGTGGATACAGCCAACAACTCCCGGGTTCTGTACCAATCACTGAAAAGTGGGTTGACTAAACCAGATGCTTATCCTCTACCATGGATGGAAGACTGCGTGAACAGGGTGGGTTCAGCTCAGTTTGTCAGTAAAATTGATGTACTGAACAGTTCCTAGCAAGTTCCCCTAACAGAGCAAGTGACACATCAGTCTTTATCACTCATTCGATTTCCTGCACTCATTCTGTTGTCCAAATGCACTGGCTTTTTTGTTTTTGCAATCATATGGCTCAGACATCCATCACATCAGGGATCTTATGGGGTTTTTGTATATATATGTATATACATTTTTTTTTTTTGCTTTATTAGACAAATGCAGTGAAGATTGATGGGAAAAAGAGAGAAAGAAATGTGGCAAAGAGCTGCAGGTCAAATTCGAACCTGGGCAGGCCACTCTCAGCCACACGCCATTTGGTTGCCTGCTCATCCAACTGAGATAAACCAGCACCCAGGGATTTGATGTTTTGTGGTGCTTTGTCAAGAGCAACTTATTCTTGAGACTATACTCAGTTTTCTGGTAGCTTTCCAGCTCCTTCATTTTTTCCAGCCTACTCTTCAAGTGCCTATTCCAAGCACCAGGTTTCCTGAGTTAGAGAGTGGAGTTAGCACTGACTGGGGAGGCTGTTGCAGTAAACTTGGTGAACATGATACAACAGTGTGTGGTTGAAAATGAGACTTTGTAACTGAGTAAAACTATTTTATATGCAGTAGTGTAAATGGGGGGGAAAGCAATGATTTGGATTCAGCTGGTGTTCAGGAAGAGTGTGACAACCCCCAGCCACTAGGTGTCTCTGCTGTGGTTATAGTGCTGTTACTTGTAGAAGTAACTGGCTGCATGAGCTACACTTGGGCCCAATTAGTTAAAAGATTCATTACTAGTTACTACCTCCGTTTTGAGCCTGTGAGCCTAGCTGTGACAGTGCGATTAAAAAAGAAAAATAAGGCTCAGTGGGAGTTGACGGGCACTGTGAGAGTCTACACTGAAACAAACACTCAAGTCTCTCATCATTCTCAAGAATGAAAAAAGGTGCTAAAAATGAAACCATTCCATTGGATTCCTGCTATTATGACACTGGTTGATTCTAAACCAAGCGTGGATCACCCTGGTAATCTGCGCTTCATGATCAGACTGAATTCTGATCAATCAGTGTTTTGAAATACTTAACCCACAAACACACAAAGATTCGACCTGTTTCAATCAGGCAGCTGAAAAGGAAACACCCATCCCACAGGAAACTACAAATGAATCTGTCCCAGACACCTAAAATGAAGGCACCTCAACATGCTGTTTTCTGCTTCAGTGTTGACATGTTGATTGATTGATTCATCTCAGGGAACATAAATCATGCAGAAGCTTTAAAGGATTCCAACTCACTGTGATTTCTCTCCATGTCATTATTTTATTTCAGACACCTACAGTTAACAAGTTTGAATTTGTTGCCTCTATCATTTAATGCATCTGTCTGGTGCTGCATTAAGCAGCTGTAAAGCTAAGTGACAGAGGCCTGACTTTTTTCCTGAGGAATGAAGAGCAGCTAGGTCTAGGAAAAAGATACCGTCCTTTGATTGTGACTTACATTGTAACAAAATCCAACCCCAAATATCAGAAATGCCCAGTATATTGATGAGAGCTGTTCAGTCACAGTAAAATCTTTGAGCTTTCACGAACATCTTCTATCTTTTGGTCCTATAAAATTGCTAACATTGGATCTCTGTCCTGTCAAACACAGCCTTTTCTTTAAGATTCAAAATAAAAATGAGCTGTGTAAGATTTGTTAGGGTCAGCTTTAGTTGATGTGCAAAATTCTCAGTCATGTAAACAGACAGAACTGGATAGCGAGTCCAATTCAAAGGCGGTCACAGAGAATCATTGCCACGCCCAAAGCAGAGTCTGCGTTCTGTCCGTATACCACCTGCAGAGGGAACGCCTTCTCCACTTCCTGTCTTAGCACTTCGTTCCGAGCGAGCGCGCTCCCACTGCCCACAATCCTGCGGACCCCCGCCTGCTGCAGATGCTCTATGGGCATCATCGAGGTGATGTTGTCCAGGACTCCATGGCAGAGAGCCCTGATCACATGACCCAGGGAGAGATTGGAGGTGGAGATGCCAGTCACGTGGCCCAGGCAGAGAGGGTCATGTCTCTCTCCCAAGATAGTAGGACTCACCCTAAGGTTGCTGGTTTCCTGGTTCAGGGCACAATGAATCAGCTTTTCGTATAAGCACGAGTCACTCAGCTCTACACCTGTGGAGATTGGGGGGGGTGCAGCAGAGGGGGGCATTTTAGTGTCATCTATCTGTGCAGACTTTAGTTTAACTGTTCTACAGTTGTTATTTTGTTTATTGCATTCATGATTAATTATTCATTTAATGTCAGTTTTCTCTAATCTCTGCGCCGTCTCTGGTCTTTGCTTTCATCTTTAAGCAGCTTTGATTGTTGATCTGCAAGTATAACCTTTCCCTAGAACTGTTTGCCAACGTTTCTGAATAAAGCTGGGATGTATTTTGGTTCTTGCATCTCCAGTAACGAGTTTAGAGAGGTGTCATTTATCATCTCTATGAATATGTTAAGTATATGAGCATGTGAGGTGTACATGGATCTTTCCAAATGAGCTCACATAAACCCTGATTAAGCAGCAGATAAAACTTTCTGTATATCAGAATATACCACAGTTTTAAACCTGGTGTCTATAGGGCCATTCCCTTTAGTTATAGGTTTTACGTAAAGACTGTATATAAATGATGGGCACAGCGTAATCATCAAGTGTGAAATGTGAAGATAATGAAGATATACCTTAAAACTACATTTTTCCTAATGGCCAACAGGGAGCGGTCCATCTGGTTGAAACAGTTGTAAAAAGAGTCTATGATAACATGTCCCTGCTGCTCACTTGTACAACTACGACTAGGATTAATCAACAATGTCAGCTGGCATTAGCTATTTGCTGATCTATCTGTATCAATATTATAACTGCTGATGAATAAAAAAATGTAAAAACTAAAGAAGAGACAGAAGAAACATCCTTCAACCATGTCTTGAGTTTTGAAATTACATAGTTTTCCCACCAGTGGGAGCTCGTGTTGTTGGCAACACACTTCTTTGGAAAGCCACAAACACAACATCCAGCTAATCCGAGCAGTTAGGTTAAATAATTACATAAATAACTACGCATAACAAACGTTAGGGAAGTCTGTTTATGATTTGTGCCTGAAAAGAGAAAAGAAATGGCCAAAATACAGCTTTTTCAACCCTGAATATTGGTATCCGCCGGTTTATGCAAAGTGTCAGTAAACATTTTCTTATTGAGGTTTTTGGTCTCACAAATCTTATCAATACACAATGTGATGCGCAATTTACATTTTAATCCGTTTTAGAGTAAAGAGAAGTTGTCACCATATGAATATTAAACTGTTGAAATAATTTGTTTCGTTATATTGTACTTGACTTTACTAAGCTATTCTACTTTTTTAAGCCTTTTGTAATAATCATGATTAAAAAATAAAACTAATGTGTGGCATCACAGTGTCTGTGTCCATCTGCAAGTCAGCCTGCACTGTTTGGTTTTCCTGAGAGGGATGACGATGGATTAAGGTCTAGAAAATAGAAGAAGAATACAAACCAAGCTCTCTCATCCAGGAAGTCAGCATCTCCACAAAACTTGCCAACACATTCCCGCCATTGAGCGATGCTGCAACAGCCAAGTATGTGGACTCAAAGTAAGGGAAGTAGGAGATGGACGAGGCGGGCTGAAGAGAATCTGGAGGTTTGAAGTCAGCTGGCATGGCGTAGGTCAGCTGGGCTGAAGTGCTTATGTTAAGGACTGGGAAATTTGAAAAAAAGAAAGAAACTGTCAGCTAAAGATAATTAGCTGTGATGGCTAGTGATGTGTTTGTCCTGAAATATAAACCCCTAAGTCAGCTACAATAAGTTTTATATTGGATTTTTTTCCTCAACCTCATTGTTTGTTGATCTCTCACTTGACATGCAACAGTGTGGTTTGTGTCTGTGAAGGTTCTCAGTCATCCAGGTCATCGTAGTCTAAGGAGCTTGGAAAGAAAAGCGTCTG